TCTCCGCTCCCCGAACTGTCGCAGGAGATGCGCTGGGCAGGGTGCTCAGGGGGATTTTTAGGGGTTTAGGGGTTTAGGGTTTAGGGTTTAGGGGTTTATTGTTTAGGGGTTTAGGGTTTAAGGGTTTAGGGTTTAGGGTTTAGGGGTTAGGGTCACCATCCCATTGCAATTGGATCTAGGAATCTTAGTAGGAAGCATAAGCATCAGGAGCTGTGTTGCGGATGCAAGTCCGAACCCTAAACCCTGAATCCACGAAACCCTTAAAACCCTCAACCTTCCAAACCCTCAACCTCTACGCCACGAGATGTGCACCAGGAACTCCTTAGGTAGGACACCTGTTTTTCCGGCACCTCACACCTTCAGATGAGCTGTAGCCGGAACTGCTAACAGACCCTAGAACTAAGAACGCGATCTTAGTTTTCAAAGGAGTTCAGATTGCACCTTAAACCTCAAAGACCAAACCCGACGAACATGCAACATGATTCCGAGATCCGAACCGCTGCGAAGAATCTCGCGATCCCGTGTCCGTCCGGTGCGGGCAATGCCACGCCGATGCCTTTGCGCATCTAAGCCTCCAGGCTGCAGTGGGTCTAGGGTTCATCAGTTTGTCAGGATTTAGGGGCAAGGCTTAGTGTATGATTAAGTTTAGGGTTCACGGTCTTGAAATCCTAAAGGTTCAGGATTTATGATTAAGTGAAGATGGAGCATGAAAGTACCTAGGCCTTATGGTTTGAATCTCTCGGTGATGCGGACAGGATTGATAACAGTGCTGTTGTTGCAGAAGACGGAGATTGATTGTATGGCAGAGCCTTAACAGTTGGAATATGTTGGAATGTCACCGAGCGTAGTCCCCATAATAATAAGATTCCCTGAAGCCAGAACCCGAAATCCATAGCCCAAGACCCAATGCCCAAAACCCCAAACCCCGGTCACTAAACCCTAAACCCTAAACCCTAAACCCTAAACCCACTGTCCTTGGCCTCTCCTCAGGTGAGTGCTACCTTTGCGGCGCTGTGGACCAAGCGATCTCTTGGGCGGGACCCTTCCTGGGTGTCATATTTCTGGTCTTTGCCACTGAGCAGCTTTTCATTCCGTGCGGCCTGCATACTTGCAGAATGGGAGAATCTAAAAAAAAGACAGATGAAAGACGAGAAATGTGTTGAAATTTTATGGGAGGCTTCCCACAAATTTGTGGTTCATATGTAGGCCTACGTAACTCGAACAAGGTCTTGAGAACATGTTCTGTCTGTAACTGAGTTAAGAACTCGGGAGACAATGGACATCATGACTTCTGGTGCTTGCAGCCGGGATTAGTTGTTGTCAGAGGAACCTGCTAGATGCAGCAATCAGGATATTGCAGGGTTTAGGGTTTAGGGTTCAGGGTGTAGGGTTTAGGGTTTAGGGTTTAGGGCAATTCCTACATGCGAGCCCGTTAGCAAGGTACCCGCTGCAGACTCCAACTTGTTTCAGCGGCCATTGCTAGGATGTAGACAGTTTAGAAGCCCTTTCCAACCCTAAACCCTAAACCCCAAACCCCAAACCCCAAATTGAACAGTTGGTCTGAGGTCTTTTTGGCGGCCTTGATCCGCTCACTTCGTGACTTGGCTGAGGAGTTGTATCAGGATGCCTTCATATGAACTACATGCCAAACTCCTGAACGGGGTTCTATAGGGGGGATGTGTAGGGGACTACCATAGGGGTTATGAAGGCGGATGCTAGGAGTCTAGACTATCGCTCATATGAGCCCCTGACTTAATTCCCGAAAAGTGGGCAAGAAGGAACTCTATAGACTTTTCGGTTTAGGGCCCATAAGCCCTAAACCCTAAACCCTAAACCCTAAACCCTAAACCAAAGTTTAGGGTATTCAGTCCAGAGGCTCATGTCGCGACTTCAGAACCGGGTGTCTCAGTTGGTAGGTTATGCTGCAAGTTTGTGCGCACGCTCCTTTGTTTCAGACTTGGGTGGGGGCGAGAACCCTAAACCCTAAACCCTAAACCAGGTTGGGAAGGTCTGAACAATCAGCCACCCTTCAACCTTTCGCTGCACTGCCACAACTTGTGACGGTTTAGGGTTTAGGGTTTAGGGGTTTAGGGTTTAGGCGTGAATTTGCCCCGAAACCGTATTCTGCGAGTTCTTCGACCCCAGCAATGCAAGCAACCGTCACTCCAGCTCGATGCATGAGTACTCCCTGCAGCCCTGACTCCACAGCTAGGATTATGAACCCTAAACCCTAAACCCTAAACCCTGAACCCTGTGCAGTGAAACAGAAGACCCCAGCTTGAGAACGAGGATCAATGGACATGGACCACACAAAGATCCAGCATCGAATTCTCGAGTCGGCGAAGCACTCATGGCTAGGCAAGGCCAAAGTCCGCTCAGTTCTCGATTCTTCATGGAGCGAACATGTAAAATGTTATGCTAAACCCTAAACCCTAAACCCTAAACCCTAAACCCTAAACCCTAAACCCTAAACCCTATGGGGTAGTGTCGTTTTTTCCAGGTCCAGGTTGGAAAGGCGACGTGGGTGTTTCGTTGGTTTTCGGGCTCGCATGCTCGAAGCCTTGAATCCGCTTAGGCGTCACACCTCGAGTTGTACTGTGCTCAGCGCGGTTGAACAAATTCGGTGGGGGGGGGGGGGTGGTGAAGTGGTGAGGAGTGTGTTACGGATAGATGTAATTGTCTGTCTGGTGCTTAGTAGGGAATGGGGGAATGGATCCCTATGACAGTCCCTTAAGGTCCCTTGTAGTAGTCCCTATAACCCATTCCCCCATTCCCTACTAAGCACCAGACAGTTGTGCTTGACCCTTCGTCTGGACTTGGGACCATGAGAGCTAAGCTCATTCCTGCATTACGCCTGCAAGACAAGACATTCCGAGGCTGCGTGAATCACATCATCCCCAAAGACTCCAAAACCCCTTAATTAAGGAATATACTTTAAATCTTATTAGGGTTCCTGTTATAATTTAAGGTATATTCCTTAATTGAGGGGTTTTGGAGTCTCTGGGTCCTCTGAGTGGCTGCTAGGTCGCCTTGCAGAGTCTGATCATGGCGAGTTCCGCATGGTCATCGTCATGTTGACTTCTTTGCAGACGCCGCGGCCTCGACTTTGCCAGAGGGTTGCGGGGAAGTTCGTGATCCATGGCTTTGCACCTTCTACGAATCCAAAGAGCCTTCCACACAGAGTTCCATCCATGCTGACACCCTACCCTAAACTCCTAAACCCTAAACCCTAAACCCTAAGCCCTAAGCCCTAAGCCCTAAGCCCTAAACCCTAAACCTTAAACCCTACACCCTAAACCCTAAACCCTAAAGCCTGAAGCCTGAAGTGGGGACCATGGGTGTGGGAGGTCAAACCTGAGCTCCCTCCCTGGTCCAGGCTCTGGACTGTCTCCCTGATGCCGCTTCCCTACACGCGACGCTTTGCAGCAGAGCCCTAGGTCCCGAGTTGAGGCGATCGTTTGAGGCTTTAGGGCTTTAGGGTTTAGGGTTTAGGGTCGAAGCACCTCAGAATACGAGTTCATCCAGAGGTTAAAGAATAGACTGTGCAGGATTTTCGTGATTTTGGGGCTAATCAAAGGGTACCAGGAGCTTAGAGCTTAGACTATAGTCCCTGTGGCTACTTGAGCTGTTCTACAGTCGTCATGAAACATGGCAGTAGAACTTGTTATATGAGTCATGGAAGCCACCACAGATTATCAAATAATTCCATGCGGTCGGATGCCTTTGCAGAGCCACCGTGGGTTTAGGATTTAAGATTAAGGGGTTTATAGACCTCGGGTTTAGGATTTAAGATTAGGGGTTTATAGACTTTGGGTTTAGGGTTCAGGGTTTGGGGTTTAGGGTTTAGGGTTTTGGGTTTTGGCACTAGGTCTGCACTTCTCTGACCTGTCCCCAGGATTCACGAAAGACTGGCTGTGGACGGTGGGCCCGAAACTAAGAAGACTTCTGCAACTGCTTGATGCCATTGAATCGAGGAGCTACATTGTTCAGGTACAGCTACATCTGCTACATCTGACGATAGGTGCTATTGAATATCGCCAGAACTACACACATTTTTCGGGGGCCTGAATGTCTGTCACCACAAGTCTGACAAGCGGCTAGAAGTGGGGGTCTACAGTAGATGGGAATGCAAGTAGATGCTTGTTGCTGGAGGGGCGCTGGCTGTACAAGCTGGCAAGGGCATTGCCCAGTGGCTTCCATCACCGACTGTTTCCATGCTATTTTTCCATGTGCAAGGGACAAGACAACGGAAGCTATTGCAGAACCACACCGCCCCAACCCAAAAACCTGAATCCTGGGTCGTGGATTGTCAAGGCATTGTGGCAGCCGACATGTCCATCCTCCGGCCTCAATGTGCCTTCAGGCAGCTCACCAAAAACCCTAAACCCTAAACCCTAAACCCTAAACCCTAAACCCTAAAGAGCGGTATTGGTATTGCTCGCAGATGCGTAGCGCCTGCCGCCCCAACCCAATCCTGGGAGACATGGTCGTGTGCGCTGTTCAGTGGTGGTAGTAATAGTGGTGGCAACAGTAGTACTAGTAACAATAGAACTGATATTAGTAACCCTAAACCCTAAGCCCTAAACCCTAAACCCTAAACCCCTAAACCCTAAACCCTAAACCCTAAACCCTAAACCCTAATGCTCCAGGCTCTCCTACTTGTCGAAGTGGCTTCTGCAGTGGGCGACATTCTTCATCGTCGTGGTGCCTGCCCAAGCGAAGTTCTAAGGTTGAACCCATGGGCCCTTAGCATGGGCCCTTAGGGGATTCTAGGGCCCCTTAAGGGTATATATAGGGTATGTAGTAGGTATATTAGGGTCCCAGGGTTAAGGGCCCATACTAAGGGCCCATGGTTTCCTTAGAGAAGTGGCACTGCAGGGGCCTGTGGGCCTTCTCGATGTAGCTGCTTTAAGTGTGGTGCGAACCCTAAACCCTAAACCCTAAACCCTAAACCCTAAACCCTAAACCCTCATCATAAGGCTTCTTCTTTCTTTATGGAGGCTTTCAGTTCAACGCTCGCCAGAGGAAACTGGATTTCACGGGCCTGTCTCAAATATTTCCCTTTAATCTTTAAGGGCTTAGGGTTTAGGGGGGGACGCTTAATAGGGACCCTTGTAGGTTACTGGGGTTTAGATGCAGACTACCTGGCTGTATGAGGGGTATATAAGGACTATACAATGGTTGTTTAAGGTAACGGGATTAAGGGTCCCTGTTAAGGGGTCCCTCCTAAAGTCCTTAGGTAATCTTGACCTGCCAAGTCAAGGCAGGGCATCTCCCCAAACCCTAAACCCTAAACCCTATTAAACTCTAAACCCTAAACCCTAAACCGCCAGACACGTCAGCCACCCTCGCAGACTTCAGGTGGTGCTGAGCTTGGCCATGCTTGCCTATTGCCATTGGCATAAGCACCCTGGCGCACATCTACTTAGGGGTACTTAGGATTAACTTTTAATTTTTGGATAAACCCTAAGAAGCAGCTAAAATTATAATTGTTGCTAGGTGTCTAAGTTCTATGCAGCCTACGGCTGTGACCTCACATCCCAAACCCTGACCCTCGATCCTCAAGCTTACACCCTAAACCCTAAACCTTAGCCTTAAGCCCTAAACCCTAAACCCTACTAGTCCCTAAGCCTTAAACCCTAAACCCTAAACCCTACTACTAAACCCTACACACTAAACCCCACTAAGCCCTAAGCCTTAAACCCTAAACCCTAAACCTTAAACCCTAAACCCTACTAATCCCTAAGCTTTAAGCCCTAAACCCTATATCCTACTAAGCCCTATATCCTAAGCCTTAAGCCCTGAACCCTATATCCTACTAAGCCCTATATCCTAAGCCTCAAGCCCTGAACCCTATATCCTACTAAGCCTTATATCCTAAGCCTTAAGCCCTACTAAGCCCTATATCCTAAGCCT